CTCCACCCCCAACCAACCCTCCCTACCAGAGAAATGTGTGGGAGAAACCAGAATATTTACCTTTTAAGTAATAAATAATACCTCAGACTAAAGTTAGGATAATATAATTGACATTGCTGAATTCCTTGTAATTTGTATGTCTAATGCAAAATCTATGATGCTTATATTCAAAATGATCATCAAATTGTAAGACCAGCAATGTAAATTATATTCTGGCCGGATAATTTGTATGAATTTTATGAGCTAAATAAAAAAAATATACTTCACCCGCGTATATGAGTAGATGCACCGCGTAAAGTGGGAATTCCGGCTCTGGCAGGGTACCGCGTAAATGTAGAAACGCGTAAAGTGAAACCGCGTAAAGCGAGGGTTCACTGTATACCTGTGTGTAGTTCGAGTTTTTAAGACCAAATTATTTGGCAAAAAATTGGGGGTCGACCTCTAAACGGGTAATAGTTTCGTTAGGTTGAAAAATATTTGCCAGTAACTACCAGCAAACAATGGAAACGATGCACCAACGAATCCACAAGCTGTGAGTGTCGGTTCAGTTGCCAGGGCAGATCTCTTGCGTCATCATAGTAAGCCCAAAGTAGCCAAATGCGTGATATGGTATGCACAGGATGATGTAAAACAAAGTATTCATTTTTTAAAGTATATTTATAGATACTGTACATAAATTTTTGTTCATTACATTCGAAACATCAATCTTTGTAAATTAAATTTTAAACAAAAGAAAACTATGATACCGCATTTTCATTAAAATATTACATCACAAGTATATTTTACCTTAACTGTGACTGAATGAATATATTCTCAGAAATAAATATGGAAATGTAATGTTTTGGCTGAAATGACGTACATATTACAGTGGAAAGTGGGATAAAATCATGACGAAAACAATGACTTTCGCTTTCTTTCGTTGTTCAAAAGATTTTACCGTAATCGCTTTTCGTATGGTTTTCAGTTAAAAAACTGTTGTACCGTACTGTATTACAATAATATTCTATCCTATCATTAGCCTCATAATCCCACAACTGAAAACCATTCGAAAAGCGATTACGGTAACATCTTTTGAACGAAAGAAAGCGAAAGTCATTGCTTTCGTCACAATTTTATCCCACTTTCCACTGTAATACGTACGTCATTTCAGCAAAAATATTACATTTCCATATTCTCAGAAATAAATAGTAGTTTTGTTGAAACGTAATGTGCAGTATTTAATATTAAAATGCAAATGAGCTATAAAAACAAATAATACTGTACACCCGTAATGTACTGGCTGGCATCTCCACTCGTCCCTGTTCCCGCCAGTCGCCGACTCACCACTCCTCCCCGCTCTATCCCTCCGCCTCCTCCACATCGTCACTACTGTTGTACTCTTATTACAATAATATTCTATCCTAATTCACTTGAATAAATACTACGATACCATATTTCTGAATATTTTCATTAAAATCCATCAAAATCATTTTCCTTATCATCGTCTTAAGCACCAAACAGCTCTTCCCAGTCTTCTCCTTGAACAGGGCTAGAGGGTACGTGCTTTTCGAATCGTTTACAGTTAAAAAAATGTTACATCACATGTATATTTTACCTAAACTGCGCCTGAATGAATATATTCTCAGAAATAAATAGTAGTTTTGCTGAAACGTGATGTATTTCAATGTAAAATAGGATAAAATACATGACGAAAACAAAAGACTTTACCTCACCTTCCGATGTTCAAGAGATGTTACCCGTTTTTTAATAGTTTTCAGTTAAAATACTGTTACATTACAATGATATTCTATTCATACTGTGCTTGATATACTACATTCACAGAAATGTAATATTTTTGCTGAAATGACGTACGTATTACAGTGGAAAGTGGGATAAAATCATGACGAAAACAATGACTTTCGCTTTCTTTCGTTCAAAAGATGTTTCCGTAATCGCTTTTCGAATGGTTTTCAGTTAAAAAAACTGTTGCATCACAAGTGAATTAGGATAGAATATTATGGTAATAAACAGTTTTTTAACTGAAAACCATTCGAAAAGCGATTACGGTAACATCTTTTGAACGAAAGAAAGCGAAAGTCATTGCTTTCGTCATTTTCCACTGTAATACATACGTCATTTGAGCAGAAATATTACATTTCCATATTCTCAGAAATAAATAGTAGTTTTGCTGAAACGTAATGTATTTCAATGTAAATTAGGATAAACTACATGAAAACAAAAGACTTTACCTAACCTTCCGATGTTCAAGATACGTTACTCGTTTTTTTAATAGTTTTCGGTTAAAATACTGTTATACAGTGACCCCTCGTTTAACGAACACCTCGGTTAACGTAATTTCGATTAACGAACTGCCTTCCATAAGGATCTTCAATTCGGTTAACGAAAAAAAATTCGCTTAACGAACTTCTTACGAACCGACCTCAACATGTTTTCGCTTGCACTGACAGGGCAACCAGCTTTAGTATCAGTCCGCCAATACATTAATCGGTTCTAGGGCTTAAATTCCTTACTATTTTTGTAAATATCAAGAAGTTTATGCTATTCAATAATTTTAAAAGTTTAATATTCAATTTTTTAGTCATTTTAACAATTATTGAACAAAATTGAAGGTAAAGTGACTAGTTTAATGCGCGGCATCCAGCCTCTTTACACAGCAAACAGGCGTCAGTCTCTCTCTGTTTTCACTGGAGGTAACATCTTGCTTGAGACTCTCTTCAACTAAACGCTTTTTTTCTGTGTTTCCAAGCAAATTATTGGTCATTTTGAAATATATTTTATATATTGACAATATATAATGCAGTGCAGCGTTGATTTAAAGAAAATAATCTTGAATTAAACCAGAGAGCTAAAATTTTATGGGTGAAATGGCACCATGGGGTGACTTCTCTTCCACCCCAATGCCTTCTCTTCTTCCTTCTCCTCCACCCCCATTCTAAATCCCATCATCATCATCATCATCCAGGAGCCTTCTACATACACACCTCAAAGTAAGTGAACTTTTCTACCATTTTTGTTGAATTTAGGAAATTTTCGGTGAGCTGGAACCAATTACCCAAAAACCCATTGAAACAATGGTTTCGGTTAACGAACGTTTCGGTTAACGAACGACCTTCTGGAACGGATTGAGTTCGTTAACCGAGGGGCCACTGTATTAGTGATATTCTATTCATACTGTGCTTGATATAATACATTCACGGAAATGTAATATTTTTGCAACTACAATGCTGATGTCAACACAAGCATGGTTACAGCAAGACTGACTGAGTGAGTGAGAGCTATGCGTGTGTGTGTGTGAGGTTGCCGGAGCGGGCGGTGTCCCGTGTTCGGTGCCGCGCGCAAGTTGAATGGCGCTCGATTTGAATGTTCTTCAATTACTTCAATGTACAGAATATTCCTCCGGCGGGGCAATCCGCGTATTTGCAAATCCGTGTATGCTAAACCCGCGTACGTTAAGGGCCGACTGTACACCTGTATAAGGCTTCACCTGGGTATGTTCTAGTTTGCAGCATCTCACAGGTTACTACAAGGAAGTTCAAGCTTCAGTCCTCCATTTTTGTGTGTATGGATGTGGGGTAAGGAACACTTCCAATCTACCATTCACGGATGATAACCTTTCATTACATTGATTGTCAGTCATTACATTGTTTCTAATTTTTTTTATCCTCATGATACTTTCCATTCAATTTTTTTTCTTTGCATGATGGTCCATCAATTTTTTTTTTAATTCACTTTGAGGGTAAATTTAATTTTTTAACAAAAGCCATTCCAGCAATTTAATTCAAGTCACTGTTATGGTATCATTATTTTAATGTAACAGACTAATTTATTACTTTATACATACAGAGAAATAGAATAAATGTTAAAAATTTTAATAATATTAACCATTACACTTCATGTCACATCCTATGATGTATGTCTGTAGAGCTTGTGATGTAGGCATCTCGCCCTTGACCTTGAATCACTTCACCATGTGTTTCTACCCCCAACCCCCAAGCACAAGTCCAGTATTGTGATCAATTACTGTACTGCATCAGTTATAATGATTGTTAATAGTGTAAATAGTAATACAAGTGTCCTGTATGTTATACTGCCTATAAATTAGAGTTTACTTCATTACTACCGTCACACACACACACACCACTTCATGAACATTCTTAACTCATCCTAGTCCAGGTGTTGCCAACCTGTAGTAAGGACATTTGAGGCCCCCCGCGAAACCCGGTTTTTGTTGGAAAGCACTATTTTCGGCCTAGCTCTATACGATGGTAGTTGATAAGATCTCCTTACTACACTGTAAATAAGGTTGAAAGCCCTTTGAAAATAGGGTGTAACATCAATTTGTGGCAGACAGGAAAGTATGGGCTTGGCTTTCGCGTTGTCAGGTGCTCTCGTCCTGTCAGTGAGTGAGTGAGAGGAGCGGGAGGCCAATCACAAAAGCTGGCCTGCAGCCTCCATCCCCCGTCCCGGCCAATGACAGTGAGCTTCTGCTATTTACGTTATGGCCCCTCCAGCCAATGAGGCAGAATCCCTCTCTCTCAGTTCTCCTTTGTTGTGGTGGGATCTACACTGATATCGATTAAAGTAAAAAAATGTCATATGCAGGTGGTAGTTTTGTTGCTTCACGTCAACATTGCAACAACCCAGTACATTACTTCATGACGCGATACCTACCATCTGCAAGTACAGTCCTTTAGCTTCAAATGCATCAAAAATGAATGCTGAATCTCAAAAAAAAAAAAAAAAAGTTATGCATGTTTGAAGCTGGAAAAACTTTAAACATGGTTTTCTAGGCTTTCAAATTTTGGCACAAATAACCCATACGATGCGGGGCTCCTCATTTACAGTCCCTATTTTATGTTTATATCATGCATGGTCAGCTTGTAAGACTAGAATTGCTTTTTATTTTTTTTATTAAATGTTCCCGAATATACCCGTGTTGGGGGGGGGTGCCGACCATAGCCACGAAGCCCAGGGGTTAAGGCGTGTTAATAAAACTTAACTTTCTTGAAATTTTCACATTTTATTATAAAAATACAGCAGACTTATGATTTTTATACAATATGGAGATTTATATACAGTACTGTGTAGAATTCTTTTGACTTCAGTTATGAACAAATCTGCTAAAAAAAAATTAACTGTCTTAACCTGTATATAATGTACAGCACTGGGAGATGATCTAGCCATCATTCATATCCACCATAAATCCTAATATTGATTCTCTATGCAGAATTATTCTCTTCCTCAACTTAACAATTACTGTATTACATTTATAACTGCAGTATATTAATAAATTTTTGATAATTTTTTTTCTTAAAAGTTTCATGATCCAAATTACTAAGAAGGTTGTCCTACATAACATAGAGGTTATAAAGTCTTTTATATGTCCAATGCATAAAAAAATTCTTAATTAGTTTAATTAAAAAGTAAAATGTCCAAAAGTAATTCACAGACTTAGTACTATCTAGACGAAACTGTGTCAAGCATCTGAATTGGGCTCAAAGCATTTCTAATTGAGGACTCTACTAATTCACCGCCAACCACCATTTCTTCAAGAACCATATGAAGTCTGTCTATGTTAAAGAGAACATGTCTCTCTGAAAACTTTCCAAAATACCTGTGGAGTGCATTAACATATAAGTTAATAAATTCGTAAACCATCAGTTCATTCTCAGCGTGGTCGGCAGCGACGATGAAGAGACATGGACCAAACCATCGGAAGACGAGGGTGTGGTCTCCATCTCCTAGGAAGTGACACTAGAGGAAACAATATTCATGGGATAACTGCTTAGTTATGATAATCAGTAATTGGAAATAAATTTTATGAACAAAGATGAAACTGATGGCTGTTATAAACATAGTACAATACATACTGCTGAATTTAAATACTTTGAAATAAGCGTAAATACTGAGACAAACTTTACACTTCTTTGCACATATATCCACAGATGGTGACATCTAATGCTTCTCATACAGGTATTGACTAAGAATTTTCATTCACCCCAAAGTTCATCACTTACCAGAGCTGCATCTTTTTCTGCTCCCAAACACTTGGCTATAGCCCGGGCTTCGGTGGTTGTTCGACTACCAGAGGTTATGTGGGTGAAGTAATGTGAGAACTGTACATTGCCATCCTTAGAAGCTATTAGCAAATAATGCATCACCATGCCCACAACCTGCAAATTGTTATAATTAATCCTTAACTTGTAGTTAGTAATTTCCGCTTAAAATAACATTAAGCTACACAAATTATATCTTTCAGAGACTACAGTACTGTAGACTGTACTGATATCCTTCATATGTTCACATCACCTAATAATGGCAGACTACACAAATAATTTTTGAATACCTGTACATGCTTTGCTTTACTGTACTGGGTCAATATTTAGAAGTTGCCACCACCTAATTGACTTTTGAAAATTGTTTTTTATAATATAAATCATCGTGCTAAATACAAATATAACCTTCATTGCCGTCGGAAATGAGCCTTGGTTGAGATATTGAATAAAAAATAGTGGAAGATCAAACAATGTAAAAACTTAACCTAACCCCTAGTGCGGGGGTGTCAAACTCATTTGCCAAGGCGGGCCAGATTTAATGAGTACACAGTATGCGGGCCAAGTAACATAATTATGAGCACTTCGCAATCACCTCTTAGGTGAGTAGCACGACAAAATAAGAAAGGTGGATTTAGTCTGCGCTCGTGCGAATCCCTTAAAACAAACAAACAAATCAAGTGTTTACTTACCTTGATCAATCTTATTGTTTGCTACTGCTGCTTCCTGATAATTGGCACCTCTTGGTATGGACCAGTGCATAAAAGTTTGGCACTAACGACTTGAGCTATAACAACCTTCAGTATTGAATTAAGGTGCACATCAGTAAGTTGAGACCGAAGCCGAGACTTGTTCAAGTTCATCACAGAAAAGAGTTGTTCACAGACATATGTACTTCCGAACACTGACATAATCTTTGAGGCAAAACATTTAATCCTGGGATAATTTGGTCCAAAACATTGATAAAATGTGCCAACATCAACACTCAAAAACTTGTTCCTCAACACAGAATCACACTGGAGCTCAATTAATTCTAACTGAAGATGTTCTGGTACCTCATTAACACCAACAGAGAATGGGTCCCGAAAAATGAAAAAAATCCCTCTCAAGTCTTTTAAAGTCAGCAAATCTTTCTTGGAATTCATTCATTAATTTGGAAATCTTGATGCAATACTTTTTTGTGTTAACATCAGCATGAAACTCAGGTGTGCCTTGCAGGGACTTCAAGGTCGGAAAGTGAGAAAGATTACTCTCTGATAGTTGCCGTTCAAAAAGCTGAAGTTTCATCTCAAAGGCACGAATGCAGTCATAAAACTCTGTCACCAATTTATTGCGTCCTTGCATCTTTGTACAGTGGTCCCTCGGTTAACAAGCACAATTCATTCCAGAAGGTCGCTCGTTAACCGAAACCATTGTTTCAATGGGTTTTTGGGTAATTTGTTCCAGCTCACCGAAAATTGCCTAAATTCAAAAAAAAATGTAGTAAAGTACACTTACTTTGACGTGTGTATGTAGAAGGCTCCTGGATGATGATGCTGATGTGAATTTGAAGTGGGAGGAGGAGAAGGGAGAAGAGAATGAAGTGGAGGTGGAGGAGAAGCATTTTACTGCTTCTTGGAAGGTGAATCACCTTCCATGAAAATGTCAGGAACCTCTTGACTGACAGATTCTCCACCATGAACATCCTCTCTCCCTTTTGAAGTGGAAGGCTGAGGGCTAGCATCTTCTTCCCTCTGCCTTTTATTGAAGAAAGTGTCAATTGTGGTCTGTGGGGCATCTCTCCTCCTCATCATTAACTCATGTTTAAAGAAGGAGACCATTGTGTCCTCAACATGACTTTGTCTTCACGTAACTTTCCACTATATTTATTGTACTTCATAGCATGGTTAGTTTCATAATGCCTTCGAACGTTGTATTCTTTGGCCACAGCAACTTGTTGATTACAAATCAAACATGTTGGTTTTCCATTCATTTCAACAAAAAAGTATAAGATTTTCCACTTATCCTGTACCACCCGACACTCTTCATTAACTGTTCTTTTCTTTGAAACATAATTATGGGCTCAAAAGTAAAAACAATGATCACTGCTGCTTTGGATATTCGCAACGTTCCAACTGCCTCGAGCGACTATGCAGAACTAGTACTTGAATGACTGGCCAAGCGAGAGCCTGCCGCGTCAGAGTTTTCATGTCTAATATCTGTACTGTACAGAGTGTATACGTGAACAGTAGTCAGTCGGCCGTCTCACAACTCGTACAGTGGCACGCTTACAACCACAATTAACCGTTAAAACTATCTCTAGTCTTATTGTTCTTTCATTGGTGATGTTGATTGAGTATTTTGTTCTAGGAAACAGCAGATTATTTTATTCAGCTGAGGGATACACTCACTACAGTCAACCCTCACTTTACGCGGTCCCACATTCCGCGTTTCCACGGTGCCCTGCCAGAACCCAGGATGCTCACATTCCGTGGTGGGTGTACCCCTTTACACGGGTTAAGTATAATTTTTTTTATTTAGCTCATAAAATTCATACAAATTATCCGGCCAGAATATAATTTACATTGCTGGAATTCTTACAATTTGATGATCATTTTGAATATAAACATCATAGATTTTGCATTAGACATACAAATTTTAGACATAATGTTTACTCTGAGTAAATTTGTTATCTTTTGTGCAAAATATATGACATTTATATTCAAAATATTCCTGGTCTTACAAGGAATCCAGCAATGTCAATTATATTATCCTAAATTTAGTCTGATTTATTATTTATTAGTAAAAAGGTAAAAAGTCTGGTATTCCCACACATTCATCTGGTAGGGAGGCTTGGTGGTGGATGGGAGGGAGGGAGGGACCGGCGACTGACCACCTGGCACCATGGTGTGAAGAATATTTTTTTTTTTTATTAACTGAAGATATTTGTTTTAGCTCATAAAATTCATACAAATTACCCGGCCAGAATATAATTTACATTGCTGGAATTCTTACAATTTGATGATCATTTTGAATATAAACATCATATATTTTGCATTAGACATACAAATTTTAGATATAATGTTTACTCTGAGTAAATATGTTATCTTTTGTGCAAAATATATGACATTTATATTCAAAATATTCCTGGTTTTACAAGGAATCCAGCAATGTCAATTATATTATCCTAACTTTAATCTGAGGTATTATTTAATACTAAATGTTAAAATCTAGTTTTTTCACCCAACCTTTCTCTTGAAGGGAGGATTGGTGGGGGGTGGGGGGGAGGGTTGGGACGGACCGACCATCTGGCGGTTGGAAGAGGGGGGAGGCAAGGTGGGGTACTTTGATTGACAGATAGTGTCGTGAAGAATATTTTTTTTTTTATTAACTGAAGATATTTGTTTTAGCTCATAAAATTCATACAAATTACCCGGCCAGAATATAATTTACATTGCTGGAATTCTTACAATTTGATGATCATTTTGAATATAAACATCATAGATTTTGCATTAGACATACAAATTTTAGATAAAATGTTTACTCTGAGTAAATATGTTATCTTTTGTGCAAAATATATGACATTTGTATTCAAAATATTCCTGGTCTTACAAGGAATCCAGCAATGTCAATTATATTATCCTAACTTTAGTTTGAAGTATCATTTATTACTAAACCTGGTTTTCCCCCAAAAATTTCTCAAAGAGGGAAGAGTCAGGGAGTGTAGTGTGAGAAGTGGGGGAGGGAGTTGAGTCCATTATTTGAATGGACATTAACTTGGCGACTGTATTTCTCTATTTCTCTTAAGTATTAATTGTGTGCATGTACCATCATAAAATTAAGATGTTATTTTTACTAGAACATAGGTATTGTGTTGGAAAAAGTGGAGTTTGGGGGTCAGCTGGTCTCTATTTCATTTAATCCAATATGTTATGTTATTCACTTTACGCGTTTCTCACTTTCCGCGGTACCCTGTGGGTTACATTAACCGTGTAAAGTGAGGGTTGACTGTATTTAGTTTTAGCTCCTCAAGGTAAGGCTGGAGCAGCAAATGGGCCGCGGGCCGCATGCAAGACTGTGTCTGGCCACATGTTTGACACCCCTGCCCTAGTGTGTAACAAACTTACCGAAAGTAAAAGATACAGGAGGATAGAGTGATGAGACATGAATGAGGAAGTGGTGTGTTCGTCAGTGTCCGTCTTTTATCACAGTACCATGCATGGTGATCTACACGTTAGACACCCTGAATTAAATCTTGGACATTTTACAGATGAAAAAAAAAGAACACCGTGAGCCCTAAAAATGACAATAGCTGCTGCTTCATTGTCTCAAAAGCACTGAACACTGTGCCAGTCGGCCACACAGACGCCATCTTCCAACTGGCCGTGAATGCGGATTAGCGCATGAGTATTACGTCACATCGGCACTCACGCTGATTGGCAAGCACGACTATGACATCACATGAACACTAGTGCTGATTGGCTAAATATTATAAAATAAAGGTTAAAATAACTCGGAAACTATAAATTTCTGATGGAAACGTTAAAGAATAAATTATATTAAAATTTTCATCTATTTCCCTATACTGTACTGTATATGACTCACTATTCAGTTAGGTGGTGGCAATTTCTAAATAATGACACTGTACTATAGTGAGTCCTTTAATAAAATTCATTAGCTTTACATTTTCACATGCAAAGAAATAATTATATGCAGTATAAAGCACACATATATATATATATATATATATATATATATATATATATATATATATATATATATATATATATATATATATATATATATATATATATATATATATATATATATATATATATATATATATAATCAACGACCTCACCAGCCAGGAATCGAACCCTCGACCTACTGGGTGGGACTAGGGAACGCTACCGACCAACCCACAAGGACACTAAAAGCAGTCCTAGACTCTGTTATATTTCACACAAAGCCTGTTCATTGAGCTGATGGCGCCGTGAACCTCATTGGGAACTGCCCGTGCCTCGTATGTGGTGTCAGTAGCATTTTACCGAATCCAGCTGGTATGAAAAACGAGGTACGTCCCACCCAGTAGGTCGAGGGTTCGAATCCTGGCTGGTGAGGTCGTTGATTATATGTCCAAAGTCCGCGTGTTATATGGACTAAAAATGAAGTATATATATGGTACCTCGTGTTTCATACCAGCTGGATTCGGTAAAATGCTACTGACACCACATACGAGGCACGGGCAGTTCCCAATGAGGTTCACGGTGCCATCAGCTCGATGAACAGGCTTTGTGTGAAATATAACAGAGTCTAGGACTGCTTTTAGTGTCCTTGTGGCTTGGTCGGTAGCGTTCCCCAGTCCCACCCAGTAGGTCGAGGGTTCGAATCCTGGCTGGTGAGGTCGTTGACTATATGTTCAAAGTCTGCATGTTATATGGACTAAAAATGAAGTATATATATATATATATATATATATATATATATATATATATATATATATATATATATATATATATATATATATATATATATATATATATATATATATATATGCTGATAACCACAAGGAAATAAGAAAACACAAAGTTCTCAAGCGCTTTCGTGTAATTCACATCTTCAGGGGTGGGTACAGACTAAGGAGAAGTACAAAACAAGGTGTATATATGCAGAGGAGGGTGAGATCAGGTCCACAATGGTCAGGTATTAGGTAATGACCCTACTAATCTTTAAATAGCACAGCAACGGTCGGTAGTCAGGTCAGAGGGTAAGGTGACCCAACCTTCTCACCTGGTTACAAATCTTCTTAATTACAAAATTGTCCAGTTTGTACATGCCATTACTCAAATTCATGTTGAATGCTTCGGTATGTTTAATGAGACTAGATTCTATGATGTTCCTACTGTCAATTGAATTACAAGGTAATATTGAGGAGGCATTATCCCAGTCAATGCAATGCTTGTTATCCCTCAAATGAACAAACAGAGCATTGGATTCCTGGCCTGTTCTAACACTATATTTTTGTTGTTTAAGTCTAGTTACAAGATCTTTACCTGTCTGGCCTAAGTAAAACATATTACATTCCTTGCAAGGAACTTTATAAATGCAACCAATTGTGTTGTTGGGGGAGTTCTTGATTAACATTTGTTTAACAGTGCATGAGTTTTTAAATGCCACATTGATGTTCCAGGTTTTTAGTTGTAAAGGAATTTGAGAGAAATTTTTGTGAAATGGTAATACTAAGAGATTCTTATGGTCATGGGTGGGCTTGGGATCAGTTCTATAAAAAGATTTCTTAGTAATGTTCAGGCATTTGTCTATGAAAGATCTAGGGTATTTAAGGTTTGAGCCAATATTATAGATATATTTATATTCCTCATCAATGAATTCCGGGCTGCAATTTCTCAAAGCACGTAAAAACATTGTTGAAAATACTGACAGTTTGACTCTATTATGGTGGGCAGAATAATAATGAATGTATGAACACACATTAGTAGGTTTTCTATAAATACTGAACTTAAAGGTGTTACCTATTCTGTGTATCAGACAGTCTAGGAATGGCAATTTACAGTCATGCTCTAATTCCACAGTGAATTTGATCGAGGGGGCTAAGTTATTAAGTTGTGGCAGAAAAGCTTTTAGGTCCTCATTACATGGCCAGAGACATAATACATCATCTACATATCTAAACCAGACTGCTGAAGGTGGTAAAATATTACTTAATAGTTTATTTCAAAGAATTCCATATATAGGTTGCTTAATACAGGTGAGAGTGGATTACCCATTGCCATACCAAATTTTTGAGCATAATATTCTCCATTGAATTCAAATTTACAATCCTTAATACATAGTTTGATGAGTTAGATGAAGTCGTCTTTCGAGACGGGCAATGAAATATTATCCAGGGAATCTGAGGAACTCCAGTAAATCATCAACTGGGACCTTTGTAAAGAGTGATGTTACATCAAAACTGACCAGTTTAAAATCATAATTAATGTGTAAGTTATTGAGTTTATCAACCAGATCCATATTATTCTTTATATTAGAGTTAGAAATGTTGCCAACTAGGGGATTTAGTAAAGAAACTAACCATTTAGATAATTACAAGAGATTGACCCAACTGAGCTAATGATGGGTCTTGCTGGGTTATTGGGCTTGTGGGTCTTGATTAAACCGTACACGTATGGCAGTGGAGGGGACGTTGAAGTAAGATGTTTAATGAGAGTAGCTTTGCCTCTCAATAGAGACTTAAGTTTTTTGTTGAACTGGGTGTTAACAGTGTTGAGAGGATTATTTATGAGTTTAGAATATGTTGACGCATCACATAAAAGGTCATTCATTTTAGAAATATAATCATCTTTGTTTAAAATCACTACTGTGTTGGCTTTATCTGCTTTAGTGACATGTAGATCCTTATTTTTTTTTAGGGCTTGGATTGCTTTGGTGAATCTTTCTGGACAGTTTGGAACACAAGGCTTAGACATAGATGCATACACAATACCTTTACACATGTTCACTTCTTCACTTGTCAAATTGCTGAATCTCTCCAAATTGCAAAATGCTCTGGCTATGTCCACACTGTCGACTCCCGCGCTAGAGCCATCAAAACTTAAACCATAACCGAGGGCACCCAAGGTATCATTGTCTAGTTGTTTAGAGGAGAGATACACTACACAGTTGCGATTGGCATCCTTAGTCAAGTCAGTACTGAAACATGCAAACATTTCTATAAAATTTGGGGGCCTACTGATGAGTTGGGGCCCACAAGTAGGTAAACCGGCCCTGCTTAGAATGACTCAGCGTATCGGGATCTTGGTTATTTACGCACTAATGTCTCTGAATATCACACCGAAATTTCTGAATATTATATATATATATATATATATATATATATATATATATATATATATATATATATGTGCAAGTAAATCACTGTTGGTGCGCGTGATCTAGGTATATGCTGATAACCACAAGGAAAGAAGAAAATACGAAGTTCCCAAGCGCTTTCGTGTAATTCACATCTTCAGGGGTGAGTACAGTCTGTACTCACCCCTGAAGATGTGAATTACACGAAAGCGCTTGGAACTTCGTGTTTTCTTCTTTCCTTGTGGTTATCAGCATATATATATATATATATATATATATATATATATATATATATATACACAGTGATCCCTCGGTTAACTACGCCTCGGTTAATGAAATTTCGGTTAACGAATTACCTTCCATAAGAATATTCAATTCGGTTAACGAAAAAAATTCGGTTAACAAATTCCTTACAAATTTTTCTCAACATGTTTTCGCCTGTTTCGCCTACTCACCAGCTGTAGTATTAGTCCGCCAATACAGTAATCGGTTTTAGGGCTTACATTCGTTACCATTTGAGTAAATATCAAGAAGGTTGTACTATTCAATAATTTTTAAAGTTTTATATTAAAATTTTTAGTCACTAACAATTATTTAGCATAATTGAAGTACAGGGAACTAGTTTTTAGCGCGCCAAACAGCCACTCGACTCACCCAGAATGGTGTCAGTTTGTGTCTCTGCTGAGTGGAGGAAGCATCTTCGTGCTTGAGACTCTCTTGAACATAAACTATTTTTACGTTTTTACAGTACAATTACTGGTCATTCTGATATTTATTTTATATATTGACAATATATAGTGCAGTGCAGTGTTGATTTAAAGAAAATAATCTTGAATTACACCAAGTGATCTTAAAATTTTATGGGTGAAATGGCAGCATGAAGCATGGGGTGACTTATCTTCCACCCCCACAGCCTTCTCTTCTCCCTTCTCCTCCACCCCCATTTCTAATTCCCATCATCATCATCATCATCAACAACCAGGAGCCTTCTACATGCCGTGAACCTCCGCGCGCTTTATGGGCTAATGAAATATATATGGAACCTCGTGTTTCGAAGCTGGATTTGGTAAAACGTTCACGGCGCCACAAGGTCGATGAACAGGTTTTGTGTGAAATATAACAAAGTCTAGGACTGCTTTTAGTGTTCTGGTGGTCTAGAGGTAACGTTCCCTGGTCACACATAAGATACATAAGATAGTGGGTTCGACTCCTGGCGGGGTGAGGTTGTTGATTATATATATATATATATATATATATATATATATATATATATATATATATATATTGAACCAATTGTTAATTTCTGACTATTTTCCTGAATATCTATTTATTTACCTTAATCATTAATAGTAAACTTCACTCACTCTGGCGCCTGCCTTCTCTACATACATACTGAATCCATTGTTAACTTGCATGACGATATTACTGTGAAATATGTATGCACAGTATATCTATACTGTATTGTATATCCATGCAGAGTAAAATTCTCTCACTCTTGCGTCTGCCGTCAATATACATGCTGAGGTAACTGTTAATTTGTATGACGATTTTACTATCTATCCGTCTGTATATCTATCTATCTGAGGTATTCATATTATCTACAGTATTATATATCTATGTATCCACGCATGGTAAGTTCACTCACTTGGTGTCGTCCTTGTTGTGAACCGAGAGCCCTTTACTGACCCCCTGAATCCCTGGACCTGAAAATAACGGAGTTACGTTTCAAAGACCTGGAGCTGGATGAAAAGATAGAGGTTTATTGGGTACAATTTATTGTTATGGAATTTTTTATTGGTTTAGCATGTGTATACACAATTTATGTATATAATGGTGAACGGCATCTTAATTAAATTAATAATAGTCCTGGCAAGACGCTAATAGTTTATTTCCATTAATAGAAATCTGATTTTTATTATTATATTTTCAGTAGTTACTGTTATTACCCAACACATATCTTTAAACAATTCACCCGGGTTCGGGAAGCAAGATATAAAGCGTGGATGACTGAGATCTTCACTAATGTGAAGGATTGGTTATTTATAAAAAAAACTATCATTAATTTCATAAATTAAATATCCAAATCATGCAAAAAAAAAACAACAACATGAATATATAAGACAGTTATAAAAATACAAGTATAGTCAACGTCCAATTTTAGTCGGGAATAGAACAGACCCACAAATTGGTGTAAAAATAATAGAAATTATAATAATAATATAATCCAGTTTCTCTAACATTTTGTATATACAGTAAGTATGACTTGGTTGTTTCCTCCACACCGGGTTCGGGTTCGGGCTGAGGGCTGAGGGTTGGTTGTCGGGGTTCAGGTTGACCTGTTTGGCTCACCATCACCAGAGGTCTGTCAGCCCTCCGGGTTCCTATAACTTTTTCCTCCACCATAATATCTCCTTCAGTTTTAGTACCACATAACGTAGGAGGATAAAAAAATACTACCATTGTGAATTTAATTTCAGTGTTATCGGTGGATGGATTTAATTAGTGCTTGTGTTGGTGTGTGATAGAGTGAGCTTTAAGAAGACTGAGAGTTGACTGGTGCCGAGGCGAGTTAGAGGAGTGTGGTTGTAATGGCTGCCATGGTATGAAATTACCGAGGATGGACGAGGCTTCGAGTCAAAACCAGCTGGGAGGGGGTGGTGGTCCGGCTGGTGTGGCCAACAGACAAAATCTAGAAGAGCCGACTCAGCGAGTGCAGTACTCCATCCCCGGGATCTTACACTTCATACAACATGAATGGGCGAGGTTTGAGATGGAGCGCTCACAGTGGGAGCTGGAGAGGGCGGAACTTCAGGTTTGTTTTGTTTCCCGTATTCTTTATCATTCCGTCTAAATACACCCTTGAGACTTTCCCCCAGTTCTCTGTCTCATGTGGTATGGGTATAGTATATCAATAGTAAGGTATGGGGAATGAATCAGCCAAATATGGCGCGTGAGAGAAAAGGGGTGTGGGTGGATCATTGATTGACGGTGATCAGCTGTTGACGAGTTGCCATTCACCCACAACACTTTATCTCCCTACAATCTACCTTCTCCCATTACACTTATCTACACGTTATTATAATACATTACACTCATACACCTTTACGGCTGTGGTAAAATTGATAGTACCTTCTATTGAAGTGCTTAATATGTCAACTGTTTTTAGGGAGTCCTCTCGTCTTGTTTGTTGTTAATAAAGTCCATTCATAAAAGTTATTTTTCATTGTAGAATTATGTATTTCCATTAAATGATAACTAGAACAATGAGGAGAAGAAGAGATATACTGTTATTATAGCCTAACTTACTCATCCATAGTTCTTAGATATTAATATGAGATTAACAATTTATTCTGATATGTATATTTTTGTATTGAGATGTTTTTACTTTAATTATGAGTTTCTAAATATTATGAGCATCTTGTCGGAATAAATTACACTTAGAATATTATATTTTCCACCTCCTGGCAGGTTAATCTCCATGTTCATTAAAGTTCAAAATGCTCCGAGCTGTGAAGTGAGATATTGGACAAGCCAACTATTGATTTTTCTAAAAGTTTAATAAACACAATCAGTAGATTTTTAATTTTCATAGGTGACTGCTAGATGGTTCTTCTGGCTCTTGATACAGTAGATATTGGCTAGTTAGTTATTCAGTAAAATCATCATACTATATAAGTTTACTCTAATTCAGCAGGTATATAGACAACACTGGTATACATGTTTACATTTCAGTTATACAGTTCAGCATGTATATAGAGTACACATTGCAGGTATACAGTTCAGTATGTATGTACACATAGCAGATATATAGTTCAACATGTATACAGGGTGATTCAGCAAAGATTAAATTAAATTGGAGGATGAAATCCTTGGATAATTCCAAACCACAATGTCTCTATGGTAAAATGTCAGATTCTGCATTCTGGAAAGCGTCAGGCAATCAATGGTACGACGTTTACAGGCCTGCATTGAGGCAGAAGGGGGCAACTATGAACATTTCCTTTAGGTTATAACAAAGAGGGGTCACACTGTAGAGATCTGTGAATAAATGATGACAAAAACCTAGGGGGGTTTCACTTTAAATTCACTCTCATTAATACAACATCTTAAATGTATTGTAACATGGAAACTGCAGAATCTGACATTTTACCTTAGAGACAGTGTGGTTTAGAATTATCCAAGGATTTCATCCTCCAATTTAATGCACTCTTTGCTGAATCTTCCTGTTATACACATTGGAAGAATATAGTTCAGCATGTATATACATTGTATTTATACAGTTCAGCATGTATAATTATATACAATGCAGGTATACCTTTCATTATATATATTAATGGATAGTGCAGGTATAGACTTCAGTTTGTATACACTCAGAGACTATACAGTTATACAGCTCAGCAAATATATACATATATACATATATATATATATATATATATATATATATATATATATATATATATATATATATATATATATATATATATATATACACACACATACAATACAGTGGGGTATGGTATAACGAATCTAATTGGTTCTAGAACCTTGTTTTGTTGCATTCGATCGTTATAGGATTAATCCGTTCCAGGCCCCAAATACAACCACTTAACACTGAAAAATATAATATAAAATTGTAAAAATTGTAAAAAGTGCATAAATATGCATCTAACTGAAATAAGAATATCATTCATAATTGTAATAAAAAACAATAAATTAGTAAAAAAAAATAAATGAATAAATAATGTTAGTTGTAGGAATTTAGTTCATTATAGCATTCTCAATTTTATAGGTAAACCGTTTGTTATGAATATTAGTAGTAGGATCAGTTCGTTATAGCATCCCCACTGTTGATATATATATATATATATATATATATATATATATATATATATATATATATATATATATATATATATATATATATATATATATATATATATATATATAAAAACAATAACGTGGATAAGATAGATCTTGATAAAATCCGCGGAAAATGGAAAAACACACACACACACACACACACACACACACACACACACACACACACACACACACACACACACACACACACACACACACACACACACACACACACACACACACACACACACACACACACACACACACACACACACACACACACACACACACACACACACACACACACACACACACACACACACACACACACACACACACACACACACACACACACACACACACACACACACACACACACACACACACACACACACACACACACACACACACACACACACACACACACACACACACACACACACACACACACACACACACACACACACACACACACACACACACACACACACACACACACACACACACACACACACACACACACACACACACACACACACACACACACACACACACACACACACACACACACACACACACACACACACACACACACACACACACACACACACACACACACACACACACACACACACACACACACACACACACACACACACACACACACACACACACACACACACACACACACACACACACACACACACACACACACACACACACACACACACACACACACACACACACACACACACACACACACACACACACACACACACACACACACACACACACACACACACACACACACCCCCAAGGGTCAGGAACCTCCTCTCCAGACAGCCAGGTCAACAAGTTGGCCCATACCAACTCCTCCCTGAACCCTCCTCCCACGGAATATCAACAAGTTCACGCCAGAAGTTACTATTTCATTTAGGAAAGGAATGGAACCAGTGTTAAACAGAGGTGAACAGTGGTGAACAGTGCTTAAGTCGGTGAGAACAACTCAACAGTAACAGTGGTACCCAAGTTGACCTTCACACAGTGAGGTCCCAGGTACCCAGTGATACGGCCCGACCTACAACCAGCGAAGTGTTAATCCGTCCTACGATAGGAAGGCCTGGGACCACACCTCACTCATAGAACACCGTCTGTGAGGGAACTACTACACCACGTGGGGCCCTCATAACACCATCTTTGAGGGAATTACTACACCACATGAGGCCCCTCATAATACCATCTGTGAGGGTACTACACCACGTGAGGCCCCTCATAACACCATCTGTGAGGAATTACACTACCACACTGGGGCCCTCATAACACCATCTGTGAGAATTACTACACCACGTGAGGCCACTTAACACCATCGGTGAGGTACTACACCACGTGAGCCCTCATAACACCATCTGTGAGGAACTACTACACCCGTGAGGTCCCTCTAACACCATCTGGGAGAGTTACTACACTACGTGTTTGCTGTTCAACACCTACATTAATCTGTTTGTTCACTGTATGTTCCTTCACCTTTCTCTAATGAAGGCTTTTGTTAAACCACCAATGTATGTAATAAGTCATTTTATGTCCAATGTATTTTCAGCCTTCGGGCTGCAGAACTTTTTCAATAAACCGTTAATTATTATTATTATTATTACACACACACACACACACACACACACACACACACACACACACACACCTCTGCAGAATTCGTTAACCAAAATTTTGTTAATTGATCCGTTTGTTAATCGAGGGATCACAAAATTATCCAGTTTGTACATACCTTGTAATTCAATTGTCAGTAGGAGCATTATAGAATCCAGTCTCATTAAACATACCGATTCTGTCAACATGAATTTGAGTAATTGTATGTACAAACTGGATAGTTTTGTGATTAATTGTAACCAGGTAGGAAAGGTTGGGTCATCTACCCCTATGACCTGACTACAGACAGCTGCTGTGCTTAGAGATGGCATGGTAAATTTTTTTTGATTAAGAAGATTAGTAAGGGTCACTGCCTTATGACCGGAACAGTGTGGACTCCTGCTGTTCCCTAGGGACTTGATATCACTCTCCTCTACTGTACATATTAGCCTTGTCATGTATTTCTCCTTAGTCTGTGCTCACCCCTGAAGATGTGAATTACACGAAAGCACTTGGGAACTTGGTGTTTTCTTGTTTCCTTGTGATTATCAGCATATACTTGGATCGTGCACCTACAGTGATTTACTTGCATATACGGTATATATCCTATATATATATATATATATATATATATATATATATATATATATATATATATATATATATATATATATATATATATATATATAAAGTTCAGTGTGTACAGTACTGTATATAAATAATAAAGATACGGTAGTATGATGTACAGTATAGTAGCTATGGTATCTAGATAAAATAATTACAGTGCATAGTTCAGCGTTTATATAGAAAATACAGATATACTGTACGATGTTCATGTAGCTACCTAGAGTGCAGTTACACAACCAGTGGTAAACAATAGGAAAATTTGACCAATAAAGCCATCAGTTGTTTATTGCCAGTAGAGTCCTGATTGTTATATACGTACTGTACTGTATTTTACTATCTTTATTGTGTATTGGTAAAGCTGTACCACTTATAGTATTGGATACTGTCTCAGGGAGGTGCCGCATGACTGGGTGTAAAGTTCAGAGGTGCCACACATATGCTTATCCTCTTATGCTCCACTATGTATGACTTGAAATTTATGACAATACTGTAGTGTAGTTTACTTAACAAGAGTTGGTTAAGGTGCATATGACATACTGTACTGTAAACTCCTTATAAGGTTTTGGAAGATGTCTCATAATTTAGAATGCAAAGTAATTTGCTTGTACAGTATACATTATTAATATTGTTTTAGTAAAAGATTTACTGTACTGTACTTAGTGTTTCTGGCCGAACTAGAAT